ATGGGAGCGCTATCGAGTGCATCAGCTCCCACCTTTTCTCTCGAAGGGCGGGAGCTCTCCCGACCATGTCATGCAGGAGTTAAACAAAAGAAAAACAAAGTGAATGACAACTTGAGGACGACGCAAAATAACCCCGCGAACCTCGAAGGCGGACGAGGTATCGTCGTCCCTTCGCCTCTCTGACCGGGTGCGCTAGTTGTACTTCCCGTGGCCCCCTACGACAGGCTAGGTTCCTGCGGGGCACAACTTGCCTTCCCTGACCGCGGGAAGTACAGTTGACGCACCCGGCTAGAGAGGCGAAGAGACGACGAGACCACGTCCGTCTTGGCGGTTCGCGGGGTTATTTTGCGTCGTCCCCAAGTTGTCTCTCACTTTGTTTTGCTTTTGCTTAACTTCTGCGTGACATGGCCGGGAGGGCTCCCGCCCCTCTTGAGAAAAGGCAGGAGCCAATGCGCTAGAAAATGCCCCCCCCCCCCCCCCCCCTTTGTGCTCATGTTGTGACGCTGGTATTGTAGCAAACACCCTTACAAGGGTATTTTCCGTACTTTAAAGATCGCATTGGGTGCATCCTTGATTAATATGATGCGCTGATGGGGCAAATCCCGTCAGGGCGCTGTCGGTGTGAATACCCTGACAAGGGTATCCACGGTAGTTTTTGCATGTAACAGGAAGTAAGTTTGAAGATCTAAATGTGCCGCACGAGTCGCGGCATAATTTGTTGAGTTACGCTAATAGGACGATTGACTAGGAGCAAAGTGTGTGTGGGCGCGCAGTTTTGAGGCACGCGTGATGGTTTTTTCTTTTGATACCGTAGAGTCGGCATGCCCGCCGACAACCTTTTTTTTTTTTTATTAAGGCTAAGGAAAATCTTTCATATTTGAATTAACCATGGTGCACCTGCGTTCATACGGCGTGCGCCATCGAGGGTGGTTTTGCTAGGTGGTGGCACTCTTGTGCTGCGGGTGCGACGACAGCCAAAGGGAGAAGTTTACCCCTTCATATAGCAAGGGCCGGTGCGTAGGTGCCCTAGACGTAGGTTTAGGCCTCCGCGCGGTATTATGGGGGCCACAAGTGTGACGTGTCGAGCAAGGACCCGACCCCTAACCGCACGTTCGCGCGTACGAGGCCGTGGATTTGAATGGGAAATCAAGCAGCAGCCATAACGCTGCTGCTGCAGGCCCAGGCTGGCCACAGTTACCGTCTACATACTGGGTGGCACACCACCAATCTTGGCTGGGGCTTAGCCCTATAGGTTGCATCACTGTGTTTTCACCAGGCGGATCTTGAGATAGAGTCCAGCAGCGAGCAGCGAAGGAGCGCCGTGGAGGAAAGCCGAGGGGTTGAGGGACTATCCCCCTTTAGTTTTTGCTGGGGAGTCCGGCTACGGGCCCGATGGGCGGGGTTCGACGGTCCTTCCCCTCCTTCAACCACTCCCGCGAAACTTAAGTTTTCTATGCCTTGTCCTTTTTTATTTTGTGCTAACTTTTATTAGATTCTTATTTTTGGGACACGGCCGGGTGCCGGTACCAGGACCGGCTGTGAGAGCCCGGGAGCCTGGCTCAGGGGGTACATCTATGAACTGTTGAAATACAGGCCTGGGTATCAATTCCATTGAAACCAGATGAGTCAAGATGCTGCAAATATGAATTACTTAGGACGGTCAGTCC